GCCCACATGGTACAGTGATTTTCAATATACATATTCTATACCTGGTAGACCAGGCATTCCTTCAGACCCGTCAACACCTGGTGGACCTCGCACACCAACATCTCCTTTTTCTCCCCTTACACCCATTTGGCCTTGAACTCCTAAAATGAAGTTTCATTTTAAAAATATTACAAAACATCTTACAGTATAACTTTGTACAAAGTTTAAAATTCTATAACCCTTTAAGCTAATGAAACAAAAATTGAGCATTTTCCCTCTGAACACACACAAGCAAAACACAAGCTCAAATCCAACACCTTCTGTATTTTTCATGTGGAGGCAATAGGAAGTTTCTAAAAGCTCCCATATGAAAATACCAATAGAAAAAGCCAGATAGCATTAGTTGACCATCTACAGCTCATCTAGAGAGTTTATATTAATATTGGAAACAAAGGAGTTCTTCTGACAGTCAAGTATTTCTGAGCAGATTTAAGGTCTTTGCAATCCAGCATCTGGTTGGTAAGTGTAGCCATTTCTGTGCTTGCAGGATACTAAATGTGTAAAAACACGAGTGTATAGCACATATGTACAGAAGCCTCCTGGTACTACTGATTTAGGATTAAAATAAGAGCTTTTTAAAGCTATTAGGATTTCTTGAAATTGAACTGAATATTCAATTTAAATCCAACTAGCCCATAAATAATTATTTCAAAAGAATGTGAGTACTCTCAGCAGTAGAGACAGTTTATTCTATGTTTTAGAGTCCACTGGAACTGCAAAACAGAAGACAACCCTGACTAGTGTTAATGGCAGAACAATGAATGTGTACCTTTTAAACCTCGTTCTCCTTTGTCCCCAATACCAACCACAGTCTCAGATGGTCCAGGAAAACCTTTATCACCTGGTTCACCTTTTTCTCCAAGAAATCCTTTTCTTCCCTTTATTCCTGGGAAGCCAGGAGAACCTGGAAGAAAAAAGAGTGAAATTTTCTAAAGAGACCTGACTAGATGACACAAAGCAAACCAGATAATGCCAATCTTCAAGAACAATTGTAATTTACATAAGTAAATATACATTTCAAAGCAACCTAAACAGCCACTTAAAAATTAACAAGGAAAGATGGCAAATCAAAACTTCTAAAAGATATGATGCTGTCATTCAGTCTGAGGACTGCACATATGCAGAAGATAAATTTACCAAAAATCAAAAAAGTTGCAGTACAACATCTGTACTCAGGAGTGATAATATACACAAAAATGGATCACAAGACTAACTTGAGCTTTGAAATTTCTGTATTCTAAGTGATAAGGAAAGTAGATAAAGTGGTCACTCGCCTCGGATACCAGGGTTGCCTGGTCTTCCAACCATGCCAGGGGGCCCAGGAATTCCTAACAGTCCCATTACACCCAGATCTCCCCTTGCACCTGTGGAGTTGAAGCAGTAGGAACATATTGGTTAGTATTAGATCTGTTAAACAGAACATTACTTCAGAAAACTTCACACATACCTGTCATTTCAATGTTTAATTGCTTGTTTTTTTTGGTTGGGCTTTTTTCCGTTTCTGTAACTGTCCAAGCTAGTTTTCCTATCTTTAACCACAGAACCATGATTTATAACCCCCAAATTACCTAGATGAGTAGTTGCAAGAGCTTCTTCCAGTGAATTAAATAGCTAACAGTAAGGATAATGCATCTGAGATACCCACTCAGGGATGAGAGATCAGTCATGAGATGTGTGGGAATGAAATTCCTTTCAGGCTCAGGAGTCAAAGACCAGCTGGGAAATAACTCCCTCAAATGCCACCAGAAGTCTTTGTCTGCATAACTGAGTCAAGTGCTACATGTTTATCAAAAGCTTTACAGGTTCTCAATATAAAAAGGCATGTACCATCTCCTTCCCACAGTGTAATGATTTGATATTAAAGAAAAATCTTTGTTAGAAATAAGAAGCATTGCATGACTGATCTGTTTTATTCTTCAAAACAAATTTCAACACATTTCTGAAAGAAAAAAAACAACAAAAAAAATCAGCCCTACAGGGACCATTTAGATCACTTAAAGTTAGCTCTGGTTAGTGACAGAGCTTGTTCTGTCAGACTCTAGATCTGAGCTTATAAGAGAAAGAAGCTGGCATTACAAACTATTTGAAAAGGGATACTGAGTAAGAACTAAACACTTGGCACTTCCATTGTGCTTGGGAAGTTGCTTTGAATATTAACTATTTCATTACTGTATAAAAACCTACTGTATTATTTATACATTACTATATAAAAAGCTACATAAAATGCGGTTCTCAGAAGACTATTATAGAAAATTCCACATTGTGTCAAGAGAGCTTCAAGATATGCACATCCTTTGAGGAAGAATGATTAATTAGTTTTTCATAAAAATCTCAAAGATAAATGAGAGCTGTTGATGGAAAACTATTTCAGCATCTTCAGTCTGGAAAAACATGACCTTTCTGCAAAACACCTTTCTGCAAAGACTCAGTTGCTACATCAGAAATACTTGGGGAAACCTTACCTGGCAAACCAGAAATTCCTGGCCTTCCAGACTGTCCCTTGGGACCAGGTAATCCCGTATTTCCCTGAAGACCTATTAATCCAGGTTCCCCAGGCTTTCCGTAGATTCCTGGGATACTCAAACCAGGAGCCCCCAGGTTTCCTTTTGAGCCTTGTACACCTCTTCCGCCTAAGAAAAGTGCAGGACATAGTGAAGTATGGTACATCTGTCTGAAAAACAAACCTTCATCTCTGTCTTTACATCATAAGCATGAAACTCCTCTTCAGCTTTGCCTGTTTAAAGCTAAACATGATCTGTAAGGCAACAAATACATTCAGAAGATCTTATGAGGCCTGTAGTTGGGATTTTTGAAAATAAGAAAAAGAAGTAGACAAATCTGTTCTTTCCCAGAAAAAGAAGAAAAACTCAAACATGAAAACCCCACCAATTTTGCATTCTTTCTTTATAATTTTTTTTAATCCTTTTGAGATCATATATAGGAGAAGGAATGTGCTGTATAACTGAGTGTGTCTTTTTGAAAGGAAAATCATATTCAGCACAGGCAGGTACTTCTGGCACCATAAATTCTTTTCCTACCTAGCTGAGTTTTCCTTTAATTTATTTCTTTACCAATCCCATTGCACCACAGAATCTAAGTTCAGTCCCACAGGGGATATATGTCTAAAATATCTATCTCTTTTCCTGTGGAATTTGTGTCAGTTTGTAATTACTCTTTATACTGCCCAATAGAATCTGAATTTTAATCCATCTTCATCAGTGCATGTGCTTCCTCCCATCTACAGAAAGAGCATCTTTCAAATGGATTCATATTTTCTTGCATTCTATTCTATAACCAATATCTAGAAACAATTTCAGCTCCCTCAGGCCATTGGAAAGCAGAAGCAAAACCCAGATTCACCCAGTCAAATGGCATTTTTGGGTCAGAAAGTCCTACCTGGTGGGCCTGTAGCTCCCCGGCCACCTGGCAGACCTGGCAGGCCAATCAGACATTCAGCAGGTTTCCCTGGAAAACCTGGGTCTCCAGGAACTCCAGGTGAGCCACGATCTCCTGAAAGACATGAGAGTGGATTCACAGCCAAAGGCTTTCAGTGAGCCTTGTTTGATTTGATTTCCCTTACAGGAACATGCTGTGCTCCCTGAGCTTCTCTGGCAGCATTACCTCTTAGGCCATCATCACCATCATGCCCAGGATGCCCTGGTAGGCCTGGGAGTCCTGGGAGTCCACCTTCACCTTTGGGGCCAGGACTGCCGTGACCTCCTGGTGAACCCATTCTTCCTGGCTCTCCATGAATAACCATGCCTGGCTCACCCTGCAACACAGAAATGTAAACAGTCCTTTCTGCTTTGCAAATCTGCCAAAATATTTTCTCCACTGGAGTAATAATGACCTTATTTTATTAGGGTAATTCTCTTTATTCCCTTTGGATCTTTCACACTATAATTTCTAATGGCTTCACTTCAGCAGACCACTGGATGCTCCTTGTTAGCTAGCTGAGTAATTAATCTAGACAGCTTTTAAACTTTGTCTCCTAACTCTAAGAAGTTGCTATGCAGCAATGCAAGACACTTCCCTCCATTTGGTCTTTACTGCACTGAGATGCCTTCTGTAGGCATTTGAACATCTATAAAAGTGGGGGTGAAGTTTGTGCAAATACAACTTTTCCTTTATTTTTATATCATAGTCATATATTTAAATAAAATTATTTATCCAAATAATCACAATCAGCATCCAGATATGACTCAGGACACTCAGTCAGTTGTTGGGGCTTTTTGAAATCATTCTTCTGAATATTGTTGTCCATAAAGAATATTTTTATCACAAATGTCCCAAGGGCATTCCCGAACTGGAAAGTTTGAATTAGTAGGTTTTTCAGCTGACTGACTAAAACAAACAAAACAACTGCTAGTTATTTTGAGTACCAGCAAATCCTTATGTTCATAAAGCAGGTCAGGAGACCTGAGCTTATACTAATCACTAATGATATACTTGGACCACAGAGGCCACTTCACATCCAAATGTGCTGCGGCATCAAGTACAGATTAAAAGAAAAATTCACAACCTCAACCTTCACAACTTCCTTTGTCATGTCAAAAAACACACAAATGAAAAACACACAAACATACAGGCACAAACAGAGAAATGCCACGTGTTCAAATAATCTAGGTGTTAATATTTAGTTTAAAAATTGAATCCTAATTACAGAGTAGTCAAGAATCAGTAGATTAGCTTCTGTTAATCAGCAAGAGTGGCTGCAATATTACCTCCAATCTTCTTTCTTCATGCTTCAATTCAACAGAGTACTTGCTTAAATGAAATACATACTTACTTGTCAATGACCTCCATCAAATATAAGCTTAATTAGATTTTTGAACGGGCATCTTTTCAGCAGTTGTGACCTTAATTTTTTTTTGCTGTAGGCAGTGCAATATCCTAATTGTGGTCTGAGAAAGCTCAAGTAGGAAAACACCCCAAACACTTGGAATTCTGAAATCTTGTATTTGGATCTAAAATTTTGGTGAGTCCCTTTTTATATAAAGAATTTAATTTCATAGTTTGTGCATAACTAGTCAAGAAATGAAGGAATTCCTATATTCCTTACATTTTCTAATTTATTTGCTCAGTATAAAATTGAATGAATGGGCCCTATGGAAAAGCTTGTGCTGTATTTCTAACCAAACCTTCTGTCCTGGTTGTCCTAGGTCTCCAGCTCGGCCTGGATCTCCAATCTTTCCTTCACAACCTGGTGGCCCTCTGCCTCCTGCAAGTCCTTTATCTCCTGCAAAAGGAATTAAATGGCAGTACAGATGCTTTGTTTTACAAAAGGGTACTTGCATGTGTGCAGTTATAAGCCTCTGACACTAATGCAGCTTACATGAGCTGAAGGGAGGATCTTGATTGCAGAGCTAATGCATCTTGCTCCTTGCATATTCACTCAAAATTGACTGTAACATTGCTTGTTAATTAATTGACTTGAAGCAAGTCACCATTCTTTTTTTCAAGTGAAGCCATTCTGATGTCAGCTCCCTACTGTGCTCTTTAGCAAGCAGCTTGGTACAAGTTTCAGTATCTGAACTTTTTTTCTTAACTCCAGTCCTTACAGGATTATGAGAATTTCCTAGTATTTCTATGGTTCAAGGAGAGTAATAACTTTGCATGGGGAATGGCTAAATTTACAGTATTGAAAATTCTTTATATTACCTGCATATTAGAGCAGGTATTGCACTGTACACAACCAAAACTGATTAAAAATGAAGTACTGACTCTTACACAGCTCTGTCTCTAACACATATCCAGGTAAAGAGAATCCATCTGAATTAAGTACAGCACTCATATGAGATAGCTGCACCTGTTTGGGCAGTATTCCAGCAAATATTAATGTCTTTAAAAATATTTCCCTACTGTCAGCTTTGAGACTTCATACTCTGAAATACCTCAAAATATTTCAAACTTGCAATTTATTGCAATTTTAAGGCAGTAAATTACAAGACTGCTAAAAATGCTTATCTGTTTATTCATTGATTTCTTTTTTTAGCTTGCTAATTATTTTAAGGTGTACTTAATTTTTTTTTGTTTTCCTTTTTTTTGAAGATCAAAAAGAGTATTTTACCTTTTGGACCTGGGTTCCCAGGAAACCCAAGCCCTGGAAAACCTGTGTCACCTGTTGGTCCTGAATGTCCTGGATCACCTGGCTGACCTCTTGCTCCAACCCTACCTGCCCAAAGAAAAAAAATAAACTGTGAATTATCTTACCACAGAACATCAACTTGTAAGTTCATGTATGTTATAGTTCATTATTATTAATAAGGATGCAACTGTGGATTATATTAGAATTAGACACTATTTCTCCACTGCAGGTTTTCACAGTTAAAGTGCTAATTGCATTCACAGTGTCAAAGCATTTATGAGTCTGTCAGTTAAGTTTTTATGCAATCTGGCCAAATTCCAGACTCCTGAAAACAGCTACATGCAGACATGTATCTTCCACTTCTTGATAGGTTCCAAACACACTTTATATAGGTTAGTCTTGAAACAGAAGCAACAAACTACTATAAAACTGTAAAAAAAAACTTCCTGTGCTGTTCAAGACAGTTTTAAGGACTATTGTTCTACAAAACCCAAGAAAAGATGCCTTACAGTTAACCAATCTCTGATTTTAACTGTTTTACTGATTTAGTGCTGTACTTACCAGGCACTCCTGGGGGTCCAGGTAAACCACGTGGTCCCTGAGGTCCTGGCAATGCAGGTAATGGAGTTGCCCTACTGGTCTCTCCTTTTAGACCTTCAGAAAATACATTATCAAATATTACAAAGGCAATTAGTTTGTCAATCTCAAGCATTTAAAAATATGAGTGATAAATCTACTTGGCTAAAAATGTAGTATTATACAGTTGCCATATTTCTGAAACTCCAACAGATTTTGAAAAGCCTTCACATCCTGGCTTCATTAAGTAAAAGCATTTTATTGACACCTGCAGTTTTCCTCTCAGCCCTCCTGCAGTCTAGTGGAGACACAGAAAAAGCAGCACAAAGTCACCAGGAAAATGATGCAACTGAGAAGTGCTTAAATCTTCAACTCCATGTCATAAAAGCTCAATGGGAAATATCTTTAAGCACACTTGTTTATATCTGCCACTCAGCTGAGCTCTTCCACTAGTATGTTTCCAGAACACAAAAATTATTATGCCCTTTACATTTAACCCACTGACTTAGATTACAATAATGGAGATGACTGGCTGCATATTTGAATAGTTTTTATTTCCACAGGGAGGTCAGTCAAGCACTAGAACACACTGCCCAGAGACAAAGTACCATCTCTGTTCTTGGAGGTTTTCAAGGTCCAACTGGATAATGATGCCTTGAGTAAATAAATTGGTCTGATCTCATAGCTATCCCTGTGCTGAGATGAAGTTCAGACTGCACAGAGTCCCTTCCAACCTCAATTATCTTTTCACCTAAGACTTTTACTTCTATCTTTGGAGGTGCCAAAGCTGGGACAATGTTCTGGAAGTCCCATGGCAAGGAGAGGTTTCCCGTTTCATAAATTATATTTTTGATTTCAATCTATCTCTGCAATTTTAATCAAGTGGTCTTTAACATAGGCAAAACACAGTAAAATAGGGAAGTTACAAACCAGCTTCTCCAGGTAATCCAGGTGGTCCAGGTATTCCTTTAGAGCCTTTAATACCTCTTGCTCCTTGTGGTCCATAACCTGGCAGGCCAGGAAGCCCCATTTCTCCAGGAAGCCCAAGTCTACCAGGCAATCCAGGTAGTCCTCTATCTCCTTTTGATCCAGCCAATCCCTAATGATTACATATGTATACCAAGAATTACTTGCTTTCCACACCAGCTTTCTTAACAAAATTGCCATTTTTTTGACTATAATCTTGTATTATTTTAATAAAAGTAACTCTGATAATTTAAGAAAATTTTTTTCCTGATTTGCTTGTCATTGAGAATAAATGTGAATATCAATGGATACAAAGAGAGGGCTATTAAGAGGAAAATACTACAAATAAATTGCCTGACTTTTTTTCCAATCACTGTGTTGTTGCACTGTACACTTTTCTTCTGTTTTAAAACACATGTGGCAAAAAACCCAAACCCACATTGGCTCTGAATTCAGCATTCTGAATTCAATCACCTCCTTGAATTCTGTGGATTCATGTTTATAGACATTTATATCTGAATCATGTTAGCAGTTTCTCAGCCAACATAACAATTGTTAGGTTTTATGTCTGCTGAGCTCTGCCCTAACAAGTCTAGTTTTATGGTCAGTTCTCTGAAGATTAACCCATAAAGACTGAACAGGAAGTATTTGAATTATTAAGCATTATAAGTAGTCAGGAAAATGCTTTTAAAAAAGATTTTATCCATCACAGAAATCCAACAAAATGCTCCAGTATCCATATCCAAACTAACAGCTCACTAGACTACTGAGGTTTTTCAGCAATGTGTACCTATACTGGCCTCAATTCTCTCTGGTATTACATCAGAATATTTCCTCTCCTTCTTTCATGCATATTGGTTGTTAGAGTTGAGGACAGTGCCCTCAGCCAGGTAGGGGATATTCAGCTGAAATAGCTGCATAGATTTAACAGAGTGTTGTACAAGATAAAATACTGACTTAGGTTTCCAAGATTTCCATATAAATTGCAAAAAGTGCATACCCACCTCTTCACCTTTAGAACCTTTGGAACCTTTAGAGCCAGGTCTTCCCAGAAATCCACTTGAACCTCTTCTTCCTTTTTCTCCCCTGGCTCCTGGATCTCCTTGATCACCTTTTGGCCCTTCTGGATGTACATATCTTGGCTCACCTTTTGATCCTTTACGCCCTTGATCTCCTCTAAAACCCGGAGGTCCCTAGAATAGAGTTATCAAAATAATTTCAGTGCTAGATATATGTAATCTGTTTTCAAGTTTTCATTTTTTTAGACTTAAATATCGCAGAGCATGAAATATCTCTCCCTAGTCTCATTTTTATTCTCTGTAATAGCACGCTTCAACGAATAGGGTTTTGGGGTTTTTTGTCTTTTCTTTTTCTCCTGCTTTTACTTCTTTTGACAAGGCTACCATTTCATTTATGCTATTACAAGCAGGAATAATGTAGTCTAATTTAATGAGTAAGACCATGGCACAAAAAGGAGGACTTTAAGACATAGTTAGAGATTTCTCCTCCACACTGGACTATTTCCCTGGGGACACTCTAGGTGCCACAGCTGGCTCTGTTTCTTGTTAACTTCCCTCTCCCTTCTCTCCCCCACAGGTTACAAAGCAGGTACACTATGCCAGCTGAAAGCACACTGGGCTCTAGTGACCTTGAGCTCATGAACTCTTAGGGGGCTCCTGGAAGCCTGCTAGCAGACTCATTCTGCATCTGTACAGCAACCACCACAAATACTTGTGCATGATTTTCTATTGGACAGTACAGGCTGTACTTTCCCATAAATAATTACTACTACAGGCACAAGTTAGCACAACCAAATGATGTGTGTGGCATCAAGTGGCAGACTTCCCTCTACATAACATTTCCCTGGAGGGACTGTCCTTTGCACCCCTGACGAGGGTATGATGAGAAGCAAGTTTCTCTGCACAGCTGGGGCTTTAGCAACTCCTGAGTATGCTGGAAACAAGAGAAGTAAGAAGTCTGACAAAGATCACAGCATACAAAAATCCATATATGCTTTACAGCCACTGCCATGATTATTGAATTATATAAAGGAATAGAAGGTAACTCTAGACTACCCATACTAGAACAAGCAGCCTCAGCACCATGAAGTGCAGCACAGGTTAATCACACAGGTATTTATTTACCTGCCTCACTGTCTGCTGCACTGAGCAACTAGGTTCATGTAAAGCTGTGTGAGCCATTCATCACATTCTCTGCCTTGCCTCCCATGCTGACACATTAATTACTACAGGAAAAAACCTGTTGAGATCACCCAGTATGACACTGCAGGTAGCACTAGCCATGAGGTTTCTCTGAAATAGTTCTTGTGGGATCTGAATGTTAATCTGAAAAATCAGTCTTACTTGAGCCCCTGGAAACCCTGGTGTTCCTGGAGAACCTGGAGAACCTTTTGGACCTCTTGTTCCTTCTCTACCTGCAAAATAAACATTATACCTAGTAAAGAAAAATGAAAACAAGGACATGGATTTTGACAAGCTCCAAGAATTGCACCCAGTATTCAATGTTTCTGTTGTTACAGTGGCTACTCATCGTAGACTGAGCTGGCTTCAGGCTGCACCTAAAGCCTATCAGGTCTTGAGTTCCAATCTTTTATGTCTTGTGCTCATATCAGCAGAGGGGGCTGCCACCTCAGGGCTAATTCAAGGACTGCAAGCTGCAGACAAGCCCACACCTAATTCTCATGCTAAGTCAAAATAATTTGCACTCCTACTATCCTGTTAGGAACAAGATAATTTACCAGGCATGCCATCCTGACCACGAGGCCCAGGAGAACCAGGAAGACCAGGCATTCCCGGAATGTAGATACAATCAGTACACACACGAGCATCATCACCTAGAATGAAAATAAATCATTAGTTGCTCCACAGCAAGCAGTTTTCAAGCTTAACTAATGTGCTATTTACTTTGTTATAGCTAACACTTTTTGGCCAGGAGTGGTAGAATCATGGCCTTAATTTTGTTGGAAGATCACTTCTAATACAGTACTAAATTACCTGTGGTCAGAAAGTCAATCAGAACTGACTGCAATTAATTAAAAGGACAGAAACATTTGGTTTAAACTTCTTGGTTTTTTCAAGTCAAGTTTTAGCAAACAATTTGGATACAGTCACTTTACTGATAAGCCAGATTCTAAGCATATGTAAGGGACCTACATTTCCAAGTAACAGAGCACTGCAACACTCAGGGTCATTCTAATGACAAGCAAAGGGCAAAGAGATTCAGCAGCTCCTGTGGGTGGAAGTGGCAGCTCCTTTCAGAGATGAACCGTCAGCAAGAACACAAAGTACAAAGCCCTACCAACCTGTAGTAACTGTGTGTTCCTGTGTAGTGGCAAATTACACCTTGCCACAGTTCTGTACAACTGGTGTGCAGCACTGGCACATCACTCTTTCAGTTGATGTAAGGGGAGGAAGATATCTCACCATCCCCAATGAATGTTCTTAAAACTCTGAACCCAGCAAATTATTTAAAAGGTAAATTAAATTTTAAAAAGATCTAATGAGG